CATCTCCAGCCCACGGTGAACCAAGGAAAGGGACTCCTCCCAGAGTGCAAGCTCATAGACCGAGCCCGGAGACAGTATCATATAGACTAGGTGGATCCCTTTGAGAACGTGTGTCAGGGAGGAGCCTACACACTGACGTCACGCCGCCGTGTCCACGTGATGGTCCGGCGGCCATCTTTGTAAGGGCTTTTTATCCATTGATGATTTTATGCTCCATGTCGTTGCTATCCTTTTAATAAAACCTACTACACTATATGATACTGTCTCCGGGCTCGGTCTATGAGCTTGCCCTCTGGGAGGAGTCCCTTTCCTTGGTTCACCATGAGCTGGAGATGGATACTTGACTACTCTACTTTTGATTGTTCATTTGATGCATCACTTGCTTCTAGAGAGATCCCACCTTCAACCAGGTCACCGGCAGGAGGAACAACCATGAACACCCTTTAGTGTCATTCCGCTATGGGCTTGCTTGCTACTTCCTTCTGGTGAGTGCATTATGGTGGAGGTGCAGTGCGGAAGTCATTGAAGTCACTACATTTTGTTGATTTGATCACATCACTATTTTTGGGACTATTATGATATTTAGAGGACTTATTTTGATTTGTTATTTGTTATACCATCTATTTTGTTTCTTCATTGGAGTATTCTCTATTCTCTATTTCTTTTAGATCAGTGGTTCTCAACCTTTGGGTCGCGACCCCTTTGGGGGTTGAACGACCCTTTCACAGGGGTCCCCTAAGACCATCAGAAAACACATATTTCCCGATGTGTAAAGAGCAGCTACTGTGTAGAAAGCAGCTGCTGTGTTGAAAGCAGCTACTCTGTTAAAAAAGCAGCTACTGTGTTGAAAGCAGCAGTATTGGAGGTAAAACGACACTCATGAATTATAATTACTGGGTAAATAATTTTATGGTTGGGGGTCACCACAACATGAGGAACTGTATTAAAGGGTCACGGCATTAGGAAGGTTGAGAACCACTGTTTTAGATGATTTTTCCTTTCTCCTTTATGATCACACTGGTCATCATTGATTATAACACACATTTTTATTAGCGCTGCACATTGATATTATAGTTTTCTACAAAGGCTTTGGGCCCCATTGTTATATCTAGAGTCCAATCTGGAGTCCGATATAACGACCCCATCAATGTTGTGAGTTCCTCCCAGAAGATAAGCCATCTTCCCCAGCTTCAGGGTGAACATAAGGTGGTACACCTATGGTATTTGGTGACAGATCCACAAAAAAATATTCTGAACTCCATTTTTCTTCAGCAAGTTCTTCAGGAAATCTTTCAGCGATGTATTATAAATTATGTCATTAATTAAGAATACATCACTTTGGGAAATTGATCTGTTTGTCCAGAGCTCGGTATTAAATTAATGATGACAAATGAAAGCTCTAGGAGACATGAGAAGCCAAGCTCTCAAATCATCTGCGCTGTGATTTCCATTTCAAATGGCCCAGCCCCCGTCCTGCGATGTCTGGTGAATTTTTTTTAGCTGTCGGATACACGGTAGATATAGAGTTTTCAAAAGTTTTTCAATTCACACTGTTGAATGTATGTAGAGCAATGGTGCTACAAGGGAAGATGATTCAAAGGACTCCTGTCCTGGGGGTGAAGTTTCGGCTTCCATCGATGACCTCTCCTAGAAACTTTGGTTGCCTGGAATGACCTGGAACAAGTATGAAGAATGGTTCTTTTACTTGCTGCATGCTTGTTGCAGGTTAGTGACCCAGTAAGTAACTGGAGGTCAGTCAGGCAGTGTTTTCAGGAAGAGGTCATCAACAATCCTTAACCCCAGGTTCACATCTAAGCGTTTTATGCAGCATTTTGTGTTTTGCAGAAACACAGTACAGTCCATTTAACATGATTTCCTATGGGCACATGTTCATACCTGTGCGTTTTCACCCGGTGCGTTTTTTGGAAAGGGTCAGGGACTTTTTTGAATGCAAAACGCTGCTTTTTAGGTTCTACAGACTTCAATGGGAATGCTGTAGAAAAGCATGTATTGCGTTTTTGCCGTGTTTTTGATGCATTTTGTGTTTATAATCTGCTAGCAACAAGAAAAATTAAACAAAATGAAAACAAAAATGCAAAACGCAACACAAACACGGCAAAAACGCAACACAAAACGCAATGCAGAATCACCTCAAACACAACCTGCATAGGTGTGAACCTAGGGTTAATACATGATGTCATGTGTCATTCAAAAAAAGAGATTAACAGCTTGCCCTCTGCCCCATATAGCAGATGTAATGCTACAGTGCGGCATGGCTGTGCAAAATCACGTGATTTGTATTTCTGGGTAGGGGACGCGCACTTGCCAGCCTACCCGCGCCGCTATAGGCTGCTGGGGATGTCAGTCACAGGGTCCCGGCCAGAAATTCCCTGCCGAGACTTGGTGATTCTCAGCAAAGCTGACAGGGGAGAGGCCTGTGTGTAAACGACACAGATCTCTCTCCTGTCAGCAAGGACATGCTGCTTTGTATCTCTCTGCACAACATGTCTCCCTAGTAAAGCACACACAGCACACAGTTAACCCTTTGATTGCCACAGATGTTAACCCCTTCCTGCCCAGTGCCATTAGTACAGTGTCAGTGCTTTTTATGAGCACTGATCACTGTATTGGTGTCACTGGGGATGTCAGTGGCAGTTAGTCTCCACCCAGTGTCAGAATGCCCGCCGCAGTCCCGCAGACTGATCGCCGCCATTACTAGTATAAAAAAAAAATTCCAGTATATATACCGCCATTTGTAGAAGCTGTAACTTTCACATAAACCAATTAATTTACAATTATTGGAATTTGTTTTTAGCAAAAACATGGAGCAAAATACATTTTGGTCTAAATTTATGAATACTTTTTTTGTATTTTTTTATTGGATATGTTTTATAGCAAAAAGTCAAAAATATACCGTATTTTTCGCCGTATAAGACGCACCATAAGACGCACCTAGGTTTTAGAAGCAGAAAACAGGAAAAAAAAAAATTCTGACCATAATGGACGCAGACCTAGGTTTTAGAAGCAGAAAACTGCAGGACAGAAAGTGATGAAAAAAATTCAGAAGCTAATGGGACTGCAGGGACACAGTACAGGAGATGACCAGAGACTGCGGACAGCACAGGGATGACCAGAGACTGCGGACAGCACAGGGATGATCAGAGACTGCGGACAGCACAGGGATGACCAGAGACTGCGGACAGCACAGGGATGACCAGGGAGACTGCGGAGAAGCACAGGGATGACCAGAGAATGAGGACAGCACAGGGATGACCAGAGACTGCGGACAGCACAGGGATGACCAGAGACTGCGGACAGCACAGGGATGACCAGAGACTGCGGACAGTACAGATGACTGCTGACCTTTGGGGAGGTGGGGAGCGGGTACCTGAATTTGACAGGTACCCGCTCTTACTTCCGCAGAGTTTTTTGTTTGATCTTACCTGTTCCTCTATCCAGCCGCGCGCTGTCTTCCCGGCTTCTGTAATGGCGCTTGGCATAACAGCCGGGTGCCCAGTGCGCATGAGCGAGAAGCACATGCGCTTTGTGATTGGTCCGGCGGCTTCTGGGATCTGTCATGTGTCCCAGGTACCGCCTTACCATTCACAAAAAGCACCGCTTCTTGCGCATGCGCACTTGGCACCCGGCTGTCATGCCACACTACAGAAGCCGGGAAGACAGCAGCACGCCGCTGGATAGAGGAAAAGGTAAGGTCCCGCTGCAGAGCTGAGCGGCCGGGCCGGTATTCTGACACAGGCCGCGGTGGAAATACCGGACCAGCCGCTCCATATTCGCCTTATAAGACGCACTGACATTTCCCCCCCAGTTTTGGGGAAGAAAAAGTGCGTCTTATACGGCGAAAAATACGGTATATTTTTTTCAAAATCGTTGGCCTTTTTTTCTTTATAGCGCAAAAAAAAAAAAAACGTAGAGGTGATCAAATACCACCAAAAGAAAGCTCTATTTGTGGGAAAAAAGGACACAAATTTCATTTATGTAAAACGTTGCATGACCGCGCAATTGTCAGTTAAAATAACGCAGCGCCGTATCGCAAAAAATGGCCTAAGGGGGGTAAATCCTCTGGAGGGAAGTGGCTAAAGTGTTACTAAACCTCAGACCCTGCATTCACTATATCCGCTCTCCCGGACCCTGCATTCACTATATCTGGTCTTCCCGGACCCTGCATTCACTATATCTGGTCTCCCGGACCCTGCATTCACTATATCTGGCCTCCCAGGACCCTGCATCATTAATATCTGCTCTCCCGGACCCTTCATTCACTAATATCTGCTCTCCCTGGACCCATTCACTGCATTCATTCTATATCTCCCCGGACCCTGCATTCACTATATCCTCCCAGGACCCTGCATTCACTATATCTGGTCTCCCCGGACCTTTCACTATATCTGGTCTCCCCGGACCCTGCATTCACTATATCTGGTCTCCCAGGACCCTGCATTCACTATATCTGCTCTCCCCAGGACCCTGCATTCACTATATCTGGTCTCCCCAGGACCCTGCATTCACTATATCTGCTCTCCCCAGGACCCTGCATCACTATATCTGGTCTCCCAGGACCCTGCATTCACTATATCTGGTCTCCCCGGACCCTGCTTCCTATATCTGGTCTCCCCGGACCCTGCATTCACTATATCTGGTCTCCCCGGACCCTGCATTCACTATATCTGGTCTCCCCGGACCCTGCATTCACTATATCTGGTCTCCCCGGACCCTGCATTCACTATATCTGGTCTCCCGGACCCTGCATTCACTATATCTGGTCTCCCCAGGACCCTGCATTCACTATATCTGGTCTCCCCGGACCCTGCATTCACTATATCTGGTCTCCCCAGGACCCTGCATTCACTATATCTGGTCTCCCCGGACCCTGCATTCACTATATCTGGTCTCCCAGGACCCTGCATTCACTATATCTGGTCTCCCCGGACCCTGCATTCACTATATCTGGTCTCCCCGGACCCTGCATTCACTATATCTGGTCTCCCCGGACCCTGCATTCACTATATCTGGTCTCCCCGGACCCTGCATTCACTATATCTGGTCTCCCCGGACCCTGCATTCACTATATCTGGTCTCCCCGGACCCTGCGTTCACTATATCTGGTCTCCCTAGGACCCTGCATTCACTATATCTGGTCTCCCCGGACCCTGCATTCACTATATCTGCTCTCCCCAGGACCCTGCATTCACTATATCTGGTCTCCCCGGACCCTGCATTCACTATATCTGGTCTCCCCGGACCCTGCATTCACTATATCTGGTTTCCCCGGACCCTGCATTCACTATATCTGGTCTCCCCAGGACCCTGCATTCACTATATCTGGTCTCCCCGGACCCTGCATTCACTATATCTGGTCTCCCCGGACCCTGCATTCACTATATCTGGTCTCCCCGGACCTTGCATTCACTATATCTGGTCTCTCAGGACCCCGCATTCGCTATATCTGGTCTCCCCGGACCTTGCATTCACTATATCTGGTCTCTCAGGACCCCGCATTCGCTATATCTGGTCTCCCACAGTACACACAACATGGAAATGCAATTATTTTAGTGAACATAAACTGCTAAATATCTTTTCTCATCAGCAGTTAGAGCAGTCTTGTGACTTCAGCTGAGCACCGGTTAAAGCTTGTAGGAGAAGTTTTCTTTCTGCTCTAGGAGGATGCAGAACCCTGACCTCTGTCTGGACAGTGCTGATTGGCCCTCTGCTGACCACATGTACTCTCCCAAGAAAAAAAAAACCTCTGTAGCAATACATACTAAACTGAGCATGTCAATAAAAGTTCAAAAGGTGACTATAAATGTTCGTTAAAATAATGTGATTATAAGAATTCCGCGATTTTCCTTAGTTCGGTGCTAGTGCGATAAGGTGTAGAAAGAATGCGCACTCACCGGAACGCATATTTAAATGCGCATAAATATATATAAACTCCTGATGTCATCACAGGTCATCCAAATGGGGGCAGAGCTGGGGAGATCCCTCGTCCGGTGTATGGATCCTGGGACTTCTGATGCGGATCAAAAAAGGGTGCCAGAGTCCCCTTTAAGGGATGGATGGGTGCAGCTCCACAGGTATAACAGGAGGCTCGCTCTCTGAAGTCTGGAAGCTGTGTAATCTGTGAATTAATACTCCCCAGGGGAGTTAAAGTAGAGGAATCTCCATAGTGTAGTAATTTAATGGTTTAATTAGATAAAGTAAAGCATCCAGATAAAAGCATCAAAATTCCAGGTGAATCAGTACAGGTAACACATCGCTCAGTACAATGCATGTAAATGGGACTGACCGTCCACAGTCAAAGATGCCTGCCGGAGCTCCACGTTGCTCCGGTGGCATGACGTCACGACGTTATTGGCTCCTCCTTACGCGTTTCGTGCACCCGCACGTCGTCTGAGGGGAATACTAAGGGCTACGAGTTCAGTCTGTCTTATCAGTGTGGACATTTGAACAAGAGGAGGAGCAGGAGAGAAAGGATCAAACAGCCTTTTTACAAAATGCAGAGGGTTAACCCCTTAGGTTTCACAGTGAGCATAACAAGCATGCTTTACTGCATATACAGACTGATTTTACTGTTGTGGGTTCTGTATGGAGAACATAAAGAATATTGTGGATGTGACTATTAATGCTCATTGGCTGTAACATTACCAACGCCAAATTCTGAAAGACGAAAACTACACCGCGGAAGTCGAGAGCGCCCTGAATGATGTCATTCATCGCTGCGGATGCTACGGTCCACCATAAATCACGGGAGCGTCCTGCGAGTGCCTCTGGAAGGCTAAACGTGAAGAAGTTATCGCCCTGCTCTGCCGCGTACAGTAATTATTTTTTTACTCGCTGGGAACGTTTAAATAAAAAAAAAAAGGGGAGTTCTGCCAAAGGCGGACTGCAGAGCGTTAAACTCACCTCATTACCGTCCTGCAGACAAGAGGTCCAACATGTGCTTTGCATTCTCCAGTCAATAATTTTGATACTGGGGACAGGTGAAAAACGAAATGACATCTGCAAGCCCCGTGATTTATTCCGTAGCCCCCAAACATACTTTCTGTTCCCATGGCCGCCTTGACGCACATTCTCGCCCAGTCCCTCCAATTTGACTTTCAATGTTCATTTTGACGCTTCTTTTCTTCCTTGGTGCATTGCCGCTCTTAGGTTGTTTTTTTTTTTCCTTTCTCCCAGTGCTGAAATACCGCAACCCCTTCGCCGCTATTGCGCCGTCATGTTTAGCTCGCTCTTCTTGGCTCCCTGGAATTCTCATTAAAATATATTTATGGGCTGAGAGCCATTGGAAAAGGATTACACCTAATTTGGCCAGCAAGGCTCTTAAATTACATCGCTGCGCTGGCCTTGTTTTTTAACTGTTGCTACTCTCGAGCTTTGGTCTCTGCTTTATATCTGTCCCACCATTATCAGCGTGGGAAAGAAAAAAAAGGCAAGTTTACGTTACAGTGTGGTCACCTAGGCGGGGAGGGGGGGGCTTAACAAGTATGGCTCAGAGGAGAGACATAGGCCATAGAGAATTGAAATGCCTTAATGGACAACTCTTAACAATGAATTCCTTTTTTTTTTTATTGGTGGGAAGTCTTCTCATCCACTTGGCTAGGCCTGTAAGTCAGTTTTGTAATTAAAAGCTTAGGGTTGGTGAAGGTTTTTTTTTTTTTTTTTTTCTTACGATAACTATTAAAAATATAAAAAATAAAAAAAAACAGGAAATGTTCTGCAGTTGCTGGAAGAGTGCGACTGCTATTAAAAGGAACAGTTTTGTACTGTTTTTTTTTTTACAATAAAACAGTGCTAAAACCTAATAACCTATCCTGAAAAAAAAGTTTTTTATCTTAATAAAATTGTTTGCAAAATTGCATCTATTTTATTTAATAATTATTATAATCACAATTAATAATTTTTTTAAATATTGATGTTAATCATAATCAATTAATCGTATAGTAAAATCATATAAAATGCAATATGATAACATATATTATAATCATATAATATCATATCTAATATCATTAAAAAAATGTAATATAATATAATTAATTATATAATATAGTATACGGTAATATAATATAATATAATATAATATAAATATGTAATATAATATCATCAGAACTATTTAATATATATTATATCATATCAGAACAATATGTAATATAATATTATTAATTCATTATATAATATAATATATATCATAAAAATATGTAATATAATATCATTAAATATGTATTATATATTAATAATCATATAAATATGTAATATAATATATCATAACTATATAATATATCATATAAATATAATAATAATATATAAAATTATATAAATATATAATATCACAGCCTTTCTCAAACAGGGTGCCTTGAGGTTTCTTCAGGGGTGCCTTGGAAAAATGTCTATAAATTGCCGAAAACTTGTATGCAAGCCAGCGGGTGGAACAAGCCTGCCTTTTAGTTCCTCAAAGCCACATGTGTTCATTGTGCACCATCAAGACTTTCTAGCCGCCGGCGTCCTGACAACCAATGACATCATCAGTTGATAGGGAGGATGTCAGCTGCCTGCACAGCTTCCTAATTTGCCCCTCCCATGTCCCTCTCAATCAGTGTTGGGTTCACATTAGCTCAGTGATGGAGAAAAAAACTGAGGGAGAAGAGAAACATTGGAATACTAGTCAGTACCAGTGTGCAAAAGTGTATTTGCTTTGGAAGAATAAATCACCTCTAATGTTGGGTGTCCTACATGTGTGGATGTTGCCAGGGGCGGACTGACAACTCATGGGGCCCCCGGGCAATAGGGGATCATGGGGCCCCTGTGTCCTTGCCCAAACTCAAAAAAGCCTATGAAAAAAGCCGGTACCAGGAGCATCTCATGGGGCCCCCTACTGACCCCCGGGCCCTCGGGCAGTGCCCGAGTTTCCAAATGGTCAGTCCGCCCCTGGATGTTGCTGCGTTATATAAAACTGTTAGAAAAGTTCTTCACATTTTAGAATGGGGTGCCTCGGGACTGTCCATAATTTTAAAGGGTGTCTTGTGACTGTCCATAATTTTAAAGGGTGCCTTAACTGAAAAAAGGTTGAGAAACACTGTAATATCATATCATAAAAGTATATAATATCATGTCATATAGTCATATAATATCACCTTAGATTGTACGCCCCTTGAGGGTTAGGGACTGATGTGAAATGTACAATATATATGTGTAAAGTGCTGCGTAAATTGACGGCGTTACATAAGTAACTGACATAAAAAAATAAATAAATCATAAAATCGTATAATAATATAATATTATATCATAAAATCATATAATACCATATAATATATAACATAATATCATACAATCATATAATATAGTATATAACAACATATAATATAATATATTATAATATAATATATACTGTCATATAATGTAATCCTATAATATATATAATATCATATAATTAGATAATATGTAACATAACGTCATATAATAATATAATATAATATATATATAATACAATATATAGCCTCATATAATATAATCAGATAATATATTACATAATATCATATAATAATATAATATAACATAAAAATAACATACTATAATTTAATATAATATAATACAATATATAATTTCATATAATATAATATCATATCATATATAATATGTCATAGCATATAATAATATAATATAACATAATATAATACTATAATATAATTTAATATAATATATAATATCATATCATATATACTATTATATAATAAAATAGCATTATTCATATTCATTAATTATTAATCAAAATCCTTTCAGCCATTCAGCAGCCTGTGGAGTCTGATCTCTCCTGTTTTTCATCTTTATTTCACCACAATAGCTGTATATCGACCTCTGGAAATCTATTGATCATTTTTAAAAATCATCACACTGTTGCCAACCATTAAAATACTCAAATACAGTAGTTCACACAGTTCATATTTATCTGATATCATTACCCCAGTCATCCGGCAACCTGTGTAGTCTGATTACTCCTGTTTTTTTTTCAACTTTATGTCACCATAACAACTTTCTATCAGGCTCTAGAAAAACTCCTGAGTATAATTAGAATGTATCGCCTGTTGGCAGCCATTGAAAACACAAATACAGTAGTTTGTATTCATTTGATATCATTACCTTTGAGTCATTCAGCAGCTGCTGTAGTCTGATCTCTCCTGTTTTTAAGCTTTATTTCACCCCAGCGGCTGTATATCAGGCTCCAGAAGGCTCTTGATCATACTTAGCATTTGTCCCCTGATATCATTACCTATGAGTCATTCAGCAGCCTGTGTAGTCTGATTTCTGCTGTTGTGCAGTGATAGCCATCAAGTGGCTGCATGTGGTATATATGAAATATTTAATACTTCTTATTTACTAGATTATAAGGAAACACAATTTTTGGAAAACCTGTTTTTAATGCTTAAAATCAGCACTGTCCAGACAGAGGATCAGGAGTCCTGCAGCCTCAAAGGACAATCAGGGGAGAATGAAAACTCCTCCTACAAGCTTTAACCAGTGCTCTGCTGGACACTGATAAAAGTCACAAGACTGTTCTAACTGCTGATGAGAAAAGGTA